TTTTGCAAATTTACATATGCAAAGTAAGAGTTTCGATCAAAATGCTTATCGATACAGCAAAAAAGTCCTTTTTTTAGGGTTGTTTTTTGCTTGATTGGCTTCCAAGATTTGCTACAGATGACTGATTGAAAATTCAACTGATAGTTATCAGGCTGAAGTTATAGTGAATATTTGATTGGATATTGTAGAGATAATATCTCGTGGAAACTGAAAAAAATTTGTTCGTAATTTTTGGCAGTTGTTTTTGACAAATAATCCGCTTAAAATCTGGTGGTAATTTTAAGAAAACTTTTTTATAACTACTACTCTGTTGTTGCATCATCCATATACCTCCACACAACTTATAATTCACATTTATGCATTTTACAATAACAAATCAATACAAAACACAAAACATAATTGCATTTAATTCAAAATGAAAAATTAATGTTTTTTTTATTTTGTTTATATTCTCCTTTTCTCACTCTTATTTTCGAGAAATTATTTCATACGTACAGCGTATGCAAAGATGTATGTGTTGTCCGATCTCAGCCGTCAATCATAACTTTTTTGTTTTTGTTTTTTTAAAATGAGGCTCACAGAAATACAGTTTTGTTTTGATCGATGGTCAAGATCAGACAACGCATGCATCTCTGCATGCGCTGCCCGTATGGAATAATATTTCCTTATTTTCACCATCTCATCCACTTCATTGCTCTTTACATTTTGACATTACTGTTTTCTCATCCGTTATTGCACTGCGTTGTAACAATCCTTGGTTGTATTTCAAGATTCAAACACGATTAAAAACAATCTGTAATCAGAGATACTTATTGGTAAATAATTATTTTCATCTCATTTATTATATAGCTTGGATAAGAGCATAGAAAAGTTAAGCTATACCCTAAAAGTTTAAATCATAAATTCTCCATTTTTTTTCTTTCCTTCCCTTGCATAGCTTCATATTTAGGGCTATCAAAATGACTCGTTGTTCCCGAACAGCTCGTGTTCGGCTTATTCGCTAAGTTAACGAGCCGAATACGAGCAAAGATTTGTTCGTTCTTGTACGACTTGTTTTGGCTCAAAGTTAACAAGCCGAACACGAGCTTGTACGACTTGTTTTGGCTCGAAGTTAACAAGCCGAACACGAGCAAAGATTTGTTCGTTCTTGTACGACTCAATCTGGCTCGGAGTACTACTCATCAATTATATATATATATATATATCTTGATGA